GAGTTGTTTCTATCATATTGAACTTTCTCAATGGGATTTCCAATCACAAAGATTGTGTTACTCCCGGAGGTGACTTCATTATGGACTATAATTTATTTTATGTCCCTCATGGACAATAATATGGTATCATCAATTTGAAAATCTTACTCTCCTCCTACATATTTTTACATATGCAACGTCATCTAAGAATTTTTCCAAAATGTTAATATCCCACATATATTTATAATAAGATAACTTCATGATATTTCTGATATTGGCTTCTAGTAACACGTTTGGAACGATGCATTCATTGAACTCTTGCATTTCACCTGTAATCTTCAATTTCCTTTTTTAAGCACTTTTCAAGGATTAGTTTACAACTAGAAAAAAGAAAATATAAGATGTATCTCTATTAAATACCTCCATATTTCAAAGTTATCCATTATGTGGAGCTTCTTTGAAAATTTTTCATGTCTGTAAACACTTATAAACACTTTCACAAAATATTAGTGTCACAATAAATAAGAATAACTTAGATAGATTTAAATAAAAGTATGACATTTCAATATTCATCCAACTTCTCTTCAAGCATTGACAAAAAAAAATGAACTATATTAAATAGTTTAATACCCACACATTTCAAGAATATCCAAGTTGAATTGAGTAAGTATGTGATCTTACAATTTATCTCTTTGGATAGGATTAAACATATCGAGGAGATGATTGATACACATGTTTATCAACCTTAACACTTTCATGACTTCTACCATCCAATATATTAACAAATTATTTTTTAAATGCATTTGCAAAATATTAGTCATAACGCTAAAATTAATCACATTGGTAAACTAAATCACAAATTAAAGATCAAGAAATCATATCAGTTTGTTGAATGTGAAAGAAATGAGTGAAATGTAAGGTAGAACCAATTCTCCATTCACTCATTACAATCATAACCTTAGACAATTTAATTCTCAAATATACATCGTGGTTAAAATGATAGTAAGGTGTAAAGAAAACCCGAGACCAATAAGTACCATTTTTCTTTATTTATCACATTATGTCCTATAATCGGGAAGACTCTTAAAGTGACTCGATTGGAACTGAACTCAACAAAATTTAAATGCTTGAGAAAAACTTCCCATGTCATATATTACAACTTGAATGACTGATTAGTAAGAATTAAAAATATTTGTATTAATGCTAGTTAGAACTACGATTTCAAGACTTTTAGAAGAATAATATGTTTTTTTTGCCACCTTTATAATATACAATTTCTACCATAGATGCTATCTATGGCTTCTTCTCCATTTTTTTTTAATTAGCTTCGCGGATTTTCTAGTTCTCCAATATAAAGTAAAGCTAACAACTCCAACTCATAATCACATAAATTTACCAACTAAATTAAAATTATAGTAAATTGACCAAAATATTAATTGAGCCATGATCTCAAAATTTTGTAAAACTAGATGATATTTAAGTCACAAGATAGAAATAACTTCAAGTACAAGCATATACTAATCGACTTAAATCTATGTTTAGGCAGTCACATATTGCAAGAAAATCAAATTTTAATAAAATTTTAAAGACAACTACACTTTACAAACAACACTATTTAAGTTTCAAATGCTTAAACACAAGAAAATCACATCACATAATCAAGAAGGCTTAGCTGAATTACTTCTATTATTATTATTTTTTAAAAGTGTTTCCAATATATCGCAAAACCATGACACAAATCTCACAATCGCGGTAGAAAATCTGAAGGGTTATCTCCCAAGTTCACCATACTTTCTAAGAAAAAAAAACATTAGCATTGTCACTCGATTAAGTCTGGCAAGAGTTTTAGCTTAGGAAGTTTTCAGTGCTAATTTAACCTTATTAAATTCCAAATTCACATTTATTGCAATCACAAGATTAAGATATAATTAGTGGCATAAAATATCCATCCACCAAAAATTCAATTTCTTCATGAAACTATGGGATGGGGCCTGACTACTATAAGATACCACAACATCAAATACAAACTAATTACCGTCTCTCATAATTATGAATTTTAATAAAAGATTTAACCTTGTTTAACACCAACCTCAATTTTTTCTCACATGGTCACAAATTCACATACATAGAATTTATGACAAGAAATTTAATCTCCATTCCAAGAAATGAAGCCAAATACAGCTACCTAATTTAGCCCAATAATCCTTCCATGAACTGTTTTTTCATTATAGGTGTACGGATTCACACGAAATTGATACTCAAAACACATCTCATATAATTAACACTAATTCTTTAAAATGATTTACGACATCACTTTACATACACTGTAGTATTGCTTTTAACAGGCATGAGGAAAGCTGCATGATAAATGCCAATGGTATTAACCTTTTAATGCTATCCTACGACTTTGAGAACTTCTAAGAGGTTTGTGCTTCCCTCCTATTTATTCTCATTAAACAAAGAAAAGATTAACTGAAAGTGTTCAAATAGACATCAAAAATCAAGATTATGAATTTTCAGTCCATGGAGCTATTATGGGATCGACGTGTTTTAAATTCTCAGCTAGCTAAAGAAAAGAATGTTGATTATCTGTAAGTATTCATCCACAGGTGAGTTTGTTAATATTCGACCTAAAAATCAATATCACGAAATTAAGTGGACAAGTAAAAACATACACAACGATTCTACCTATCAAAAATCATAACAATAATTGTCTATATGCAAATCACGAACACGGCTATAGATTGTTGGGAAAAAAGGGGTGATTCGCGTGTAGATTTATTATCAATTAATATAAAAAATAACAAATACAATTTAACAATAATATAATATAAGAAGAGAAGAGTTAGAAATGCAAGTTTTGAGAGTCACGTCGAAATCGCTGTCCTAAAATCATGTTGTCCCCTTTTCGTACTCGTACTTTTGACACTACATGACTTCAAGATAAAACCCATGGGCTCACAGTCAGTTCTTTTCTATGGATATGACCATAGGGCGATAAAGAACGAGACTCTGATCGAATTGTCAAAACTATAGAAATATAATATAAAATATAGATGAAATATTTTTGTATTCAAATATCTCAAGTTGTGATTTCATGTTACATCAAACAATGAAATCACCACTCCTTTTTATAAGGACAAATATAGCACCCATATTCATGAAAATAAAACCAATTTATATATAAGCTATAATCCATTAGTCATGAGTTTTTATTTTGTATTAAATGTAAATTAAAATAGAAAACTAAAATTTAAGATTATCTTTAATTTTGAAATTTAAAACTTATTAAAACTTAAGTTACAACATTTTGTACAAAGGATTTCATGCAGATTTTTTCTTTTTGCGCTTTCCAATAAGCACAGACGCACGTAAACAATTTTGTAGGAAGATTATAAATAAAGTAGAAAGGTTTAAATTTCCATAAAAATGGTAATTTTGAGTGAAAGAAAGCAAAAGAGGAGAAGGGAGGTCTATTCAGGCCCGGTTTTGGGACCAGGCGAATGAGGCATACGCCTCAGGCCCAGATTCCAAGGGGGCTCATTTTCAGCCCAGAATTTTATTTATTTATTTATTTTTTATTTTTAGTTGAACCAAACCCAGTGATGAAAAAGAGCACCCCACAACTTCAAGCCCAAATCCAATACCCTTAGTCTTAATCCATTTACCCAACTTATACATCCATAAATCATAATCTATTATCCATCATTTACCCAAAATTCCCAATTTCCCAATCCCCAATCAAAAACCCCTTTCTCCCAAACGTTTGTCTGAGTAGTCCATCCCCTTCGCAGCGTCGTCGATCGCCTCTGTCTCTCTTCTCGACTTCCTCATTCCGACTTTCAGATTTCCTCTTCCTTTGAGTCATCAGTCACGGTCCATGGAGTCGAACGCCATCGTAGTTCACACCGTTTCCGTTCTGCTGCAGAGCATAGTTCGCTATTCACCCCGATTAGCAAGCAAGTGCTTGGCTGTTAGTTTAGTGTGTTAAGATTATTAATTCCTTTTCAGTTATATGATTACATTTACATTAAGTATTCAACTATTCATTCATGGCTTTTACTTTTACTTATTATAATTTTGATTACTTGATTTTAATTGATAAATGCTCTTTTTCTATGTTACTGTTAAATACTTAAATGTTAATGGGTTAACTGTTATCTAATTTGAATTAATTTATTTTGTTGATGAAACTGTTTTAATGGTTATTAGTTTTTATTAAATGTGTTATTTCCCTAAGTTTGACTAAATGTGCGCCTATTTTTAAGTATTGGTGTTTGATGTTAAATTTTTGTTTTAGGTTCGTAAGTTATGACAATGGAATTCTCGAGGGTGTAACTCCACAGTTTTCGCTGCAATTCTGCTTCTCAAGTAAACAATGACTTTCCCTAACTTGTTATTTAAGAGATTGAAAATGTTTGGAGTCTTGTCGACTTATATAATTGCAGCTTGGTTGACTTATATGATTGATTATTGTAGATCAATTATGTCAGAAGAAAGATAGGATGGATTGACTATGTTATCAATAGAGAAAGAAATAGTTGAGCAGCTAAACTATTCAGATTTTATTATGTTTTTGCCTCTAAAACAGTAAGACGGATAGCATTTAACTAATTGTTTGAAATATTGTTGGTTTTGTTATTTGATAATATAAATTTTTTATATAATATATTTGTTTTTTTTTTAATGTTAAATTTTAAGTTAGTAATAAGTTGCATAATACATCGTTGCATTTACGTTGATTTCGGGAGGGGAGCCTGAGTTATATGCTTTGCTTCGGCCCCGACAATCACAGTACCCATCCTGGGTCCGTTCAACATTGGCGCCTAATACCAGGAAGGAAGAAAGAGAGAAAACCGGCAACAATTAGTCCGTAATCCATATAAAAAGCACCATTAATTGGTCAATGAAATTTTCCCGTCAGATTATTTATTTGAATGGGTGTTCCCGTAATTTAATATTGGTAATAAGAGTATGATCTATTAATTAATTTGTATTATGGTTCCTTATCCATTCTTTTATATAATCATACATATTACTATTGTTGACCTTTTTCTCCGTGTACCATTAATGATATCCGAACATTTGGAACTTTTTATTCGTGCTATCGTTTGAGTTGTTTTGTTTATGGAATTATACCGTGGGTTTGGGAGATTTGTTTGTTTTGATGATTTTATGAGGTTCGTATGCAATATTTTTCGTTCAGAATCGATTTTTCTTGTTGGTTCTTAATAGTTCCTTTAGATATGTTGTGTTTAACGTTGATCATTACATGGATAAGTTGAAAGTTTATTTCATAGAGTTTTGGAAAGATCCGAATTGTGAAGCCCCTTCTGGGCTTTGTGGGGGGTGCTGAATAGCTATATTTTCTTACTCTGAAGTTATGGTCGGAAAGGATCTTTCTAGTTTGAGTCAATAACTTTAACCATCTTCACAATATTTTGAGTAGTTTCTCTGATGCTGGCTTATACCGTTATACGTTCTGCTATTTGGAGTAGATAACTATTTGTGTATTAATTTTATGATCGTGGTTATAATTGCCACTTTGTTTGTTGACCAGGAAAAGATAAATAATTGCTAAGTCTTAGTTTGCCTGAATGGATCCAGCTAGGGACGAACAATTGGATTATGGAGATGGGGAATATGGTAAAAACGCAATATCATCAAGTAGGAGCTATACCCGCACTTGCAGAGGAGAAAATGATAGGGGAGGATGATGAATATGATGATCTCTACAATAATGTGAATGTTGGAGATGGTTTTCTGCAGTTGCAGCAGTCTGAAGCACAAATGCTCGCTCCTGATGTTGGCAATGGTGGGTCCCACGCTTCAAAAGCAAATGTTTCTAATGCTAGCGATGAAGCAAGAGTTGTACAAGAGGTAAACATTCCTTGAGCTTCTAATGAACAAAATTATTCTTCCACTGGGATCCAATTTCCTAAGCAGAAGTGTGGCTTGCCAGCTGATAGGGGACCTGAACAATTCTTGTTGCTGCACAAAGGGGAAGGATATCTGAGATGACACATAAATCTCAAGCAGGACATTTAGGATTTCAAGGATCAGTTCCTATGCCCCAGAAAGTTGCTGCAGATTCAAATAACGTCTCAGAGAAAGTAGCTGGTGAGCCGTCTCTTTTACCTACTGTGGGCAGCTCAAGAGTTGTTCCAGATATTCCAGCCAGTCGAATGAATCCAAGTGCAAATATGATAGTGAAACGCATGGTTGATAATGAGAACCTGATACGGCCAACTGTAGAAAATGGAAATACGACGCTCCTTGTGGGACAGTTATATTGGTGGACATTGGATTTATTGTTGATGTTTCAGTAGACGTTTCTTTAGCTCTTGCAAGAATTGTATGGGAGTCATTCCTACAAGAAATCATATCGATTCAACTTTCATTGAAAGCTATTCTTATTAAAAAAAAAAAAAAAATACTTTCATAAAATTAACTAAATAGATTTATCAGTAGCTCGTTCATTTTTGACTTCTCAAAAATCATGTTGAATGTAACATAAATCACACATCATATATTTGGAAAGTGTGACCCTAGTTCAATGCTTTACGTCAGAGTTTGCTTCTCAAAAACCATGTTGAATGCAACTTAAATCACATGTCATAGATTTGGAAAATGTGACCCCAGTTCAACGTGTTACCTCAGAGTTTGCTTTATGGCTAGAAGTTGTAACATCTTTTTGATGCATTTGCATATTGAATGTGTGGATATGAACGTAACTCGTCTAATCTAGTAATGCCCACAGCCCACTTGATATACTTGTCATGATGGAGACTTCTTCCTTCTTTAATCCTTGGGCGTTAGAAGAGAATCTGCAAAGATTGGTTGGCTCACATTTTAATTCAAAGGTTAAAAAGGGAAACTTCTCTTAGTTTACGAAGAGTCTTACTGAGCTTAAAAAACTGTATTATTGGAAAGTCCGTGTTCGAATGAAGGTTGAACAATTATCATATAGCAATCTAATTTCATAATCGTTTGGTATACTTAACAAAAAATCTCAGGAGTCTCTCTGTATCCATTGACACACTTGAGAATTAAGAAATAGCCACAAGAAACTCGTTCTAATGTTGGAGGGACCAAAATGAATGGATGACACGTTGTTTCATTTTTTCTGACATGTTTGTCTCGTCTCTTTGGTTGTAAAAAATATTGTAGAAATCTCAAGTCATGTACGACGATGCTATAATTGGTGTGTATGTATTTTGTAGTCAATGTAAATGTTGAAGTGTCATTGTCATTGAATTGTAAACTTGAATTTCTTTGAGATTTACATTGGCTTCATCACAAAATCATGCATGTCGATCGGTTAGAAGTTGCTCATTTGCACATCGCAAACACTGAGCAACTTTTTTGGGAAAATATTGTAGATTTTCTTGGTTTATCCATTAAGAATCTTCTCAAATAGTCTTTTTGGTAAACTAATGTTTTTATGTTTTGAACTTATTTAAAAAATCATGTTTATGTCCTTTCACACTGCATCTGTTGCTGATGACTGGTATGGAGGAGTTGAGTTCATGCTAATTCTTGTATTTTTTTTTTTTTTTTTGTTCCATTTCAATTTGTTTTTGTTTTTTTCTCTTTTTCAAGAAATAAAAAGACCAAAAATAGCAGAGTAACATATGATTGTAGTTGATTTCAGTAAAATACATGTACGTGACTTCATCATAAGACAACAGCAATTGGCAAATCAAGAAATTGATGAGAGCGATATGCTTATAGGAGATTTCATTATCGGATAGCCACTACAAGATATAAAAGCGGAATGTGAACTAAATGAAACTGTCTTGGGTGACTTGCCTGCTGCATTATTTCTCTTACCAAAAATT